AAAATACACATATAAATGTAAACAAAGCAAACAAAAAGTACTTATCGTTTGGGTATGTATGACCATCAGGAAACCAAATATGGAAAGTTTGCTAGGAATTGGGGCTCTGGGAATTTTTTTGACTAAGATTAGAACCTTATTACATTTTAATCTAATAACATCAAAAAATAAAATGAATAAAATACAAAATTTTGTTAAAAAATTCCCAGAGCCCCATTTTCCTAGCAAACCTCCCATATGGGAAATTCTTAAAAATCGCAAATTCGAAACCTAAAAATTATCCATTTCAAATAGCGATTTTAATAATCCTGTATATAAAAATGGTTTTTTTTTTTTTGACTTATCAATTCGCGAAGATTGGTGATGCCAAACGAATTTTTATTTATATTTAGCACTGTTTTGTAATACATTTTGTAAAATAGAAACAGGGCCAATCGTTATTAATGGCACAATACGATCGTGATTCACAGAATATGATCACGTAATTTTAAATTTAATAGTCGTGGAAAAAACGATATCAAGATTAGATTTCATATAAAATTTTAAAAAACGAAATTTATTCGTGCTTAATTTTATTTTGTGTCAAACGATCTGTCAGTTTATTCTGAACAAACTCAGCAGGTTTAATCATTAATAATTTACAAGATATAACCAACCACGTTCACTTTCGCATGACCTGGATACAAACAATCCGTAATTTTCTAATGCATAAGACTTTCAGAATTCTATTTCTTGAAATGCTCATAAAATTCTAAAGTTCTGGGTATCTTATAATTCATAATTACAATCATTATAAACGAGTCCATAGTTGAATGTAGTGTTTGTTTATCATCAATATATTCCGTTAAACTTAATGACGGTTGGTTGCATACTTGCACTTGACATATTTTATGAACACATTATTATGACTGTAACTCTAGTTTGAGGGAAGAAATTGTTTACATCTAACCAACCGACTGTAAATAAATGTTTAATTTCACCCACGTAGTGGATCCATACATTTGTCCCAACATTAAAATATTCCAACCTAAAAACTAAACTTTGATTTACTTTTTAATGAAGGCGGAAGTTCTGCTTTCTCAGTTCTTGAAGTATCCTAAAAGTAAATTACACAATTTGATAAAAGTCAAAATAGAACATTTTAAACCCAAATTATAATGGTCATGAACAGCGAATATATTGATGCTTAATATGTATAAATACAATAAATTAACAAAGCATTTATTAATATTTTTTAAATTATGCACTTTACTAATTTAATGAAGGGCAATTTCTTATCATAAACGGAGTGGACATATGTGATGACAAATAACATTTTAGTATAATTTAGTAAAAGCGAAATATAGTGATGTGATAAATAGCACCTTAATCTGTATAACTACCTAGGTAATTTGAATCGTTAATTATTAATAACGGCTGATGCAGTTAATTAATGCATGTATATTCATTCTTAAAAATTGTTCTTTAGAAAAATTTCTTAGCTTACATGTGTATAAACACGGGCCATGTGATATAAAAACATCATGAGTGTTAATGTGGAGTTAGGGTTAGGTCCGGCTAATAATTAACTGTTTAACCAAATGAGGCAAAAAATATATCGTTAGATTCGACCGAAACAATGATGTGGTTTTTATTTTATTCCGAGTGATACCGAACGTTATCGAATTACTTTTGGCAAGGACGGATGTCCCGTATATTATGGATTTTGCCGTATTCACCAATTAATCGGTTAATACTTAACGGTTTTAATCACTTAATTTTATATCTCTTACCAAAGTAACTAAAATTCGCATAAATCATTTGTTATTGCCTTATTTCAAATATATACTTTCCTGCACATTTATTATTTGCATATTACCTTTATTTCATAATATTTCGAAACCATGTAAAAAAGTAATTATATGTAATGTATTTCGTTTTCTGACACATTTAGAGGGTCTAATGTTTGTAAATAAAAAGTATTAAATAAGAATGATCGACTATTGATTATTACATTACTAGGGCTTAAATGTATAACAGAAAAAAGTCAAAAAATAAATTTAAATGTAACACTGATTTTATTATATAAAGCTAATTTGTTAACACAGCATCACGTGAAGAACAATTCGTCAAATTCCGGCAACCGAGTAAAAGGCACGTGTTTACGTTACACCTGATCTTAAATTTCGATTGGTTAATTCTGTGACAGACAGATGGACATCCCGGTTTTGACTGTAACAGAAGTGTCCTTCGCTACGCTTCGGACAATTAAGCTAATAATTTTCCGATAAGGGAACAACACCTTTAAAAGTCCACATGCCGCATAACAGCACTTTTAATTTATATTTTGATTCTATAGTCATAAATATCGTAGACATCATGAAATGAGACTGAAGCTTAATAATATTTGTGGTGTTATTTCGAACCAATCAACATTAGTTTTCCTAATAGGGAAATTCCTATTCGTTTTTTGCAAAACACGTTTAAATATAAATCTGATTTGTTAAAATTTTACATATTAAAACATCCTTTCTTCTGAAGAGTCCAATAAATTTCCACGCATTGCATTTTGTAGATCAAAATTCATGCTTAACTGTCTGATGTGAAAACTTATAAATAAACGATTTTTTTTTTTTTTTTTTTTTTTTAGAAAGAAAATTATTAAATCGAAACATAGGTAACAGTTTAACTTAGAATTAAACAATTACGCATTTTTTTTTGCAAGTTAAATTGTAAGTTATTGATTTTTAAATATCCTTTCAAATGGCTATCCTATCTTTTTTTTTTTTTGATTCAAACAAATTCTGGAGTTCAAAAAACTTGATATGTACTAATAATACTGATCCATCACCACAAACGTATATTGGTAATAGATAAATATATAGGTTTGCCAGAAAAATGACGTCATATTACTAACAAACAATTCAATAAAATTAGGGATGTTAAGCGGTCTTAAACGGTCCTTAAAGTCTGCCAGTTTTTATTTTTATTTTATTTTTTTACTTTCTTATAATAATGTATAATCTCATTCGGGAATCCAGAAACTTTGTTTTGGGACCGGTCCTAAGACCGATCTCAACTTAACGGTCCCATGTAAAATTACCGACGAAGTTTAAAAATTATTAATATAATGAGCACTATTTATTATAGATAAGCGATTAACCTTTGGGACCGCTTAACATCCCTACTGGAATATTTATACAACAGATTTTCATTATGTGTAACCTATACGAATTGTTTTTAATCGCAGTAACAATCACGTACAAAATGGAAATGTATCCTTTTTTTTCTAATTTAACTTTTTTAAATTATTCTAATATAAATGATATTCAATTCACAGAAAAATGTCCTTGCATATCTTACCTGATGTTAATTTACCTCCATCATTAGAAGAATCAGAAAATAAATCCAATTCTATTTTTGGAAAATGCTTGGAATGTGGCAAAGAAAGAATCAGTGATGGATGGTGTAAAGGTTGTGAAAGCAACGCCTTTAAAGAGAATTTTGAAAATTGGTCAAGCGAAAATATAAATATTGATAAGTTTATTCGAAACACTCAATTAATTGCAACTGGAAATGTAGATTATTTAGAATATATTGATTTTAAACAATTTGATCTTATAGAAAATACAAATAAAGGCGGTGCCTTTAGCACAATTTATTCAGCGGTTTGGATGGAAGGTCCTCGATGGATTTGGGATGAAATGGCTGATCAATGGATACGTAATGGACCCATAAAAGTTGTTCTAAAGCGACTTAATAATTCGCAAAATATAAATAAAGACTATTTGGATCAAGTTAGTATTGTTTTATTTATTATTATTTATTTGCTTGAATCTTTAGCATTAATAATCTTTTTTTATACCATTTTAATGAAATGAAAATAAAGGTTTATAAATATCAACATTGTTTACACGGTGGAAATATTGCAGATTTTTTTGGAATAACTAAAGATTATACTTCTCATTACATGTTTGTTATGAAATATTATGAATATTATGAAAATAGAGACTTATATTCATATCTTGATGAAACTCCATTAAAGCTTTGCTGGAGAGATATTACTGAATTGCTTTGGAGCATATCTGGAGAAATTGTACATTATCATGAAAATGGATTAAATCATGGAAATCTTCACGGAGGAAATATATTGGTTGAAGTTAAACAAGATTTATTTGAGAATATTATATCCCGGATATTGAACCATATTTAATTGATAAGAAATATTCTAATGAAATATATGGAGTTCTTCCTTATATTGCTCCCGAAATTTTGAAAGGAAATCCGCTAACCGAGGCTGCAGATATTTATAGCTTTGGGATTATTATGTGGATTTTCTCCGCAGGTTTTCGCCCATGGTGTAATAGACCACATAATATTAAATTAGCTAGTGAAATTTGCTCTGGTCTTCGACCTGAAATTATCGATGGAACTCCATATGTTTACGTTCAGTTAATGACACAATGTTGGCATTCTGATATTTCTAGACGTCCAACTGCATCTGAACTATATGAATTATTAGGAAGCTGGATAGATGCCATTGATAGTCCTGATCCATCCAAACTATCTGAGCAATTTGAACTTTCTGAAGAAAACATAATTTCAAGCTTTCATACGGAAATGATCCATCCTGAAGCTTTTTATACAAGCAGGATTTTGTATTTCTCTGAATTATATAAATTATATAATGATCAACTTTTGTAGAAGAAAAATTTAAATTTATATATATTATAGGCATTTCTGAAATTATCTAAACAAAACATAAATTGGTTATTAAGCGTTTAGATTCTTAACAACAGGCTTTTATAACGATTAATTTTGAAATAACTCATATATACATATTTTTTTTATTTGGAATATGACATATTATTTAAAAAAAAAGATTATGTTCTATGGCTAAGACATTATTTAAAAATTTTGCATATGTATTAACTAATAAAACACAATAATATTTGATTTGGTCATTTACAACGTCATAAAATGATCCAAGAATATTTTAAGCGTTTATTTTTCTTTTAAGATAACCTGTATTTTTTTAAAAAAAAATCTTTAACTTGTTAACATATTAACAGTTTTAACCGACCTTTTACTTAAAAACCAATTCAGGAAACCAAATATGAAACTAAAATAATCTTAAAAATCGAAACCTAAATAATTCCTATTTTCACATGACGACTTTAATAATCCTTTTTATGTAAAATGATCTTTTAAATTAATTAAATCGCAAAAGTTGTTGATGCCAAATTAATAATTAGTATGATTATTTATATTTTACCATATACTGTACATGTATTTTGTCATTATATATGTTTCTTGTTGCAGGAAAGTTATTTTCTAAATCGCTAGGTAAATCTAAGTAATATTATTATTTTATTTTCGTTAAGAAATTCAATAATTGGGTCTTGCTCTCTTACAATCAAAGTTACGATCGAACATAGTAAATCATATTATCCATAACGTGCTTTTAATAGCAAACCGCATTTGCGTATATTCCATAAAAACAAATACCATTTAACAACAGTGATTTCTTGTAGTATAGTTAGAATATTTGCATCTCTTTAAAGTTATAAATAAGAAAGAAAAATATCAAATCGAGAATGACAGCTAGATTTACTCAGTTCCGTTCCATACACTTATTTGCGCGTATTTTAAATATAACTAAAATTACGCACTTTTTAACTAAATTATTAGCGTTTATATATTTCATTCGTCGATCAGGCTATTCGATATGCCAAGGTCCTCCGCTATGCTTCGGACAATAAGGGAAAAAATAATTAAAAATTGTGTTTTTTTTTTGTATTGAAATTCTTTCTTTACCATATCCCCACCATCTCCACTTACTCCACTACCACCACCATCCATATTCAGATGGTGTAAAGATTGTGAATATAACGCCTTTAAAAAAAATTTTAAAAATTAGACAAGTGATAATCTTATTGTTTAGAGCCAAAAATTCTTTAACCGGTTCCAATCTCTATTATTGTTGATAGTTTTATTAAATATACTCTCAATTTAATGCGACTGAAAATGTAGATTATTTGGTATTTATTGATTTCGAACAGTTTGAATTTGTGGAAAACATAATCAAAGATGGGAATTTAGCACAATTTATTCAGCAATTTGGATGGAAGTCCACGTTGGACTTGGGATAAAGATGCCGAACAATGGACACGAAATGGACCTACAAAAGTTGCTCTGAAGATTATTTGAAGCAAATAAGCTACCTTTAGTTGTTATTACTCTAAAAATTCAAAAAGGTTTTCAAAATAATAACAATTTTTCAAATAAATTTTTAACGAAGCTTTATAAATTTCAATATTGTTTACATGGTGGAAATGTTGCAGATTTTTTTGATTACTAAAGATTATACTTCTCATTATATGTTTGTCATGAAATATTATGAATAATAGAGACTCATATTCATATCTTGTTGAAACACTTTGTTGGCTGAAATGCTTTGGAGTATTTCTGAAAGAATTGTACATTACCATGAAAATGGATTAATTCATGGAAATATTCATGGAGGAAATATATTGGTTGAATAAACGAGAATATTTATATCCCGGATATTGAACCATATTTAATTGATAAGATATATTCTAATGAAATATATGGAGTTCTTCCTTATATTGTTCCCGAAATTTTGAAAGGAACGAAGCTGCAGATCATGTGGACACTTTCTGCAGCACATGATTTAAATTGGCCAGTGAGATTTGTTCCGGTCTTCATCCCGAAATTATTGATGGCTTATGCTCAACTGATGACGCAATGCTGGAATTCCAATCCTTCAAGTCGTCCGATTACATCTGAATTATATGATGCGCAACGTTTATATTAAAAAAGTAACCATTCAGAAACTTTTTTTGGTGATACTTCCTTTAAAAGTAGCAACCGAATTTAAAATTTTTTGTTTTTTATATACATTCATGTTTTTTGTTGCAAATTTTTGCACTACAACACGTTCGTTACAAAAGTTATTTTTTTTATTATTGTGTTAAATCTTTATTGGGGATTATATACATATAATTTTTATTTTTGTAAAAGAAATTGATACCCTTGTGCATAAGGCGTCAATAAGCAAATTGTTTTATCAAACATCACGGAATATTATATAACGTATTCTTCCGAAAATAAGCAACACTTCGGAAAAAATTGAAAAATTTTTTTTTTTTAATAAAATTTTTTTTTTGTAAATAAATAATTTAGCTTTTATGAATATATTATAAATGTATTTTATTATTACAATTTAAAAAAAAATATATTATGAAATTACAAATTATTAGTGTTCATTCTTTTTTATATTTAACTGAGTGTTCGTTTCACAATTTTTGACCTTACGTCATAGTTTTAACAACTCTCTTCCGTTTTGCCATTGTACAGAATAAAACAGGTTTAAAACTGTTTCATGTATTATGCAAAAATTTATAATGAAATTGATCATCAAAAATCATATGATTTGATAGTTACGCGATCGAATTTCTTTTCATTTTATTAAACTACCCGAAAATAAGCAACACTATAAAATGTTGCTTATTTTCGGAAGAATACGGTATATTTTTTTTTGATACAAAAATTGAAATCAAATTTATTCATTATTATTAGAAAACTAAATAATTAATATTCATTTCAGTAAATTAATTATCATTGATTTAAACTAATAAATTGTAAGTATCCTTTAAGCCTGATATATTATTTTTTTTTCTTTAATAAAAAAAAAATTGACAACTTAAAGGAACATTTATCAAGAAATATCAAAAAGGATAGCAATTTATAAATAAATATGCATTCAAAAATTTTGTGTTACACGTTAAAAATGGAGTTGATGAATAATTACAATTCATCTTATTGGATGCAGAGAGCATCAAAATGAGGCAAACCTTTTTATGATCGTGTTTATTATAGAGATGATGATCAATTTTAAACCAATAATAAATAATCGTTATTTTCTTTTTTTTTAATATTTTGCGCGCGTAAAAATGAAAATGCAAAAAAATTTGATCGGCAATATGCATAAAAATGATAATTTTTACCCGCTCAGAAAAAAAAAATTTTTTGACAAAAACGACAAAAAAATGTTATATATAAAGGCTAAACTTTTAATCTCAGTTGAATTTACTTGTTCAGATAAAAACAGTTCGTTCTCACAATTAAATAAACCCAACCCTTATTTATTTTATTAAAATTATAGAAAAACATAGAATTTCTATCATAATTAAAATTTGTAAGTATTTTTTTTTGTATTGTAATTCTTTCTTTACTATATATCTCAACCATCTCCAACACCACCTCCTTCCCTTCCTCATTCTCTTCTTCGTTAGACTGACCTTTTTATAAATTTTACAGATTAAAAATTCGCCTTCTCAAAACATGGGTGATAATTCGGATTTTGGAAAATGTTTTGATTGTGGAAACGAACGAAGTGATGCAAGATGGTGCAGAGGTTGTGAATACAATGCCTTTAAAGAAAACTTTAGAAACTGGACAAGTGATAATCTTAATATTGATAATTTTATCAAATATACTCAATTAAATGCGACTGAGAATGTAGATTATTTGGAATATATTGATTTCGAACAGTTTGAATTTGTGGAAAACATAAGCAAAGGTGGAGACTTTAGCACAATTTGTTCTGCGATTTGGATGAAAGGTCCTCGAAGGATTTGGGATAAAGATGCCGAACAATGGACACGAAATGGACCTACAAATGTTGCTATAAAGAGACTTAATAATTCGCAAAATATAAGCGAAGAGTATTTGAAGCAAGTAAGTTATGTTTGGTTGTTATTATTTGTTTAAAGCTTTAAAAGGATTTTCATATTAATAACGATTTATTCTATAAATTTTTAATGAAGATTTATAATTATCATCATTGTTTAAATGGTGGAAATGTTGCAGATTTTTTTGGAATAACTAAAGATCCTAGTTCGAATTACATGTTTGTTATGAAATACTATGAATATTATGAACATTTAGACTTATATTCATTTCTTGATGAAACCCAAGGAATACTTTGTTGGAGAGACATTGTTTTAATGCTTTGGCAAATATTTGGAAAAATCATACATTATCACGAAAAGGGATTAATTCATGGAAATATTCATGGAGGAAACATATTGGTTGAAGTTAAACCGGATTCGTTTGAAAATATCGATATCCCAGTTATCGAGCCATATTCAATCGATAAGAAAAGTTCGAATGAAATTTATGGAGTTCTTCCTTATATTGCTCCCGAAATCTTGCAAGGAAAACCGCTAACTGAGGCCACAGACGTTTATAGTTTTGGAATGATCATGTGGACACTCTCTTCAGGCGCTCGCCCATGGTGTAATAGAGCACATGATTCTAAATTGGCCACTGAAATTTGTTCCGGTCTTCGCCCTAAAATTGGAACTCCAAACGTTTATACTCAATTAATGACACGATGTTGGAATTTTGATCCTTCCAGTCGTCCAACTACATCTGAATTATATGAAAAGTTAGAAACTTGGATAAGCGCTATTGATGGTCCTGATCCATCGGAATTATCCGAAGAGCTTTCAAATTTGAAAAAAAGCAAATTTGATCAACAGAATGTCCATTCTGAAGCTTTTTATACAAGCAGATTTTTAAGTTTTTTAAGATTATGATAGTTAAGATTATGAATATAAACATTTTTCTCGATATTTTTTTATGCATGAAAAAAAGAATTATAGTTTTTAAGTCAAAATTATAAATAAGTTCGTATCTGAAATAATATTACAAAATAACTGCGGCAACTTTTGAGATTTTAAAATAATATAAAAACTAATTTATTAAAGGTTTGCGTATTTTCTTTGTAAAAATTTATTCTTTAAAATTTACTTATATGATATATGTTCTGATTTAACGTCAATTTCCGGAAGTTCCCCGTAACTAATTCATGTATGATAGGAAATAAGATTGTCTTGATGAAACATCATTTGCAGTTAATGAAACTATAATAAAGTTTTAACTATTGATTTTTATTATCGTTTTTGAGTTTAGGCGGATAATTTTATTATAGTTTTGTTTGTACATGTAAATGTGAGTAATATGGGTACAATAAAAATAAATATTTAAAATGAATGAAGATAATTTTTATTAGTATGCTAAGTCTGAAATATAAAATTTAAATAAGTCGACAGTACAGTTAACGTAAAAAATAAAAAATTTGGCATGGTTAAAATAGCTTTTTATAAATTTGTCTGAAGTTGGAATTCAGACACTCGAAGATCATCTGATCATGCCGATGCATAATTAGCCAGTTAAATCGATCAAGACGCATCATGTATTATTAATGTTTGTATCATGAATGGTCTCGGTCTGTATGACATAAAATATCCAACACGACACGATTATAATTATGAACTTACTTTCTTGGTCACGCTTTTATGTCCTTAAATAGCATTATTTATTAATTGGTTTGAAAATATCAGTTTCCTAATAAAGTAAGTCTTCTATTTGCAAAAAATAAATTTAAAGCATTTAAAAGTACCAAAAATATTTATATCATGCAGCGGAAATGTCCATCTGAATAAATAGCGCCGAAAATTAATAAAATAGGAAATTAAAAAAGTAATTTATCAAATGTGTAATGCAACTAAGAAAATCCATACATGTATGGAAAATACCTGTCATACATTCCATATTAGTAAGATCACGAATTTTAATAAATAAGAGAACGCATCAGACATCACGGTGTAACATTTAGTAATACGATTTGGATGTAAATTTGTTTTTTTCTCAATTACGGTAATTGTTAAATTTGTTTGACCATCATGAAACACTTCTAAATTATAATAATCTCGCAAAATTTGTAATATATTATTTCAAAATTAAGCATACAATTGAGTAAGTTCATGGATCACGGACATAAAATTTTTATGTCCGTGGCATGAAAAATTGCACTAGATATGTATAAAGATTTCATATAAATTTTTTAAAAAGACTTTTTTTTATCGTACTTAATTAATTTGTAAAATTAGTCAAGAAATCTGTCGGTTGGATTCCTATTTCTTGTAACGGAAATAGATGATACATTATCATTACGCTATATGAACACATTTTACGAATAAAAAATTATTAAAATTCAGCCACGCCAGTGCCTTAAAGTTCAACTAATAGAATGCGGTTTATCATGGACCAGTTGTTGAACAATGATTCATATTTTCTTGTACCTAACAAGCCATCACATGACGCAGCAAGCTCCATCATGTGATTTTGCCACTCGTCGAGGAATTTTAATTCATATGTTCGAACTAATATTTTCTTGGCTGCTTAAGCAACAAAAGGTGAAGTGTTTATTTTGTGGGAATTATCTAGGTTGAAATATAAATAGTTATTGCGCATTCTGCATAACATTATTAATCTGCCTACGTATGATACTTACTTAGGCTTGTTTCAATTTATATTTTATTTATATAATGGAAGTTTAAATGTTTTTCATTGTAAAATGACAAATAAACAAGTAGTATGTGCGTTAAATTAAATAATAAAGAGGATGCACCAAATTATAATGATATGCGAAAAAAAAATTTATTTGTATTTGAATAAAATTTATTATTAAACAACCTCTAGCCATTATGGCTAAATGCGGATATTCAACTACATAAATAATATATCATTAAATACATACCTTCCACAGAAGAAAAATACCTTTTCGTGCTGCTCGAGGAGCGGAGCATTTACCATATGCTACTGCATACAGTATCCCCCAAAAATAGTAGACCCGTGATTAATACCTGGATATTATTCACTATCCATGTTGGATTCACCAATTAATCGGTTAATAATTAACGGTTCTAATCACTTAATTTTATATCTCTTACCAAAGTAAATAAAATTCGCATAAATCATTTGTTATGCCTTATTCAAATATATACTTTCCTGCACATTTATTATTTGCATATTATCTTTATTTCATAATATTTCGAAACCATGTAAAAAGTAATTATATAATTTCAATGATGTAATGTATTTCGTTTTTTGCCACATTAATAGGGTCTAATGTTTGTAAATAAAAAGTGTGTGTCAAATTAAATAAGTATTAACTTACTGTATGTTGCGTTAAATAATGATCGACTATTGATTTTTACATTAATAGGGAGCGGGAGCGTCCGAAGCGTTAATTTACATCGCTTAAATGTATAACAGAAAAAATTCAAAAAATAAATTTAATGTAACACTGATTTTTTCTATATAAGCTAATTTGTTAACACGGCATCACATGAAGAAAAATTCGTCAATTCTGACAACCGAGTAAAATGCATACACCTGATCTTAAATTTCGATTGGTTAATTCTGTGACAGACAGATGGACATTGCATGGTTTTGACTGTAACATAAGTGTCCTTCGCTACGCTTCGGACAATTAAGCTGATAAGGGCACAACACCTTTAAAAGTCCGCATGCCGCATAACAGCACTTTTAATTTATATTTTGACTCTATAGTCACAATTAGACATCATGAAATGAGACGAAGCTTAATAATTATTTGTGGTGTTATTTCGAACCAATCAACATTAATTTTCCTAATGGGAAAATTCTTATTCTTTTATGCAAAACATGTGTTTAAATATAAATCTGATTTGTTAAAATTTACGTATTAAAACTTTATGGACGATGCTTATAAGATAATCCTTTCTTTTGAAGAGTCCAATAAATTCCACGCATTGCATTTTGTAGATCAAAATTGTGTAATGTGAAAAGTTATAAAATAAACGATTTTTTTTTTTTCAGAAAATTCTTGAGTTCAAAAATTTTTGAATATGTGCTATTCCATCACCACAAAACGTATATTGGTATACCCCCTAGACCCCACAACGTTAATGAAATAACCACAGGATGAACACGGACACACCCATAGCCGGAACGATTCAACTATCCATGTATGCTGGTATCATCAAATAAATCACCCAATATCCCTGATTTCCAAGTAGAATGCATTTGCTACCGGAACATTTTCTAAATACAGTCATCCCCCTCTATAGTCACCCCCTGTACAATCACATCATATAAATCCCTCATTATTGAACGAGAGACTAATACATTGCGTATTTTTATAATCACGGTATTTTATAGTCGCTCCCTTTCAGAACCAACGCTTTGTAACAACATATAAAAATCCCCCAGTATAGTAACTTTTTATTATAATCACATTTTCATTTGGGGTGTGACTATAAAGGGGGATGACTGCTATATAGGTTTGCCAGTAAAATGACGTCATATTACTAATAAACAATTCAATAAAATTAGGGATGTTAAGCGGTCCTAAACGGTCCCTAAAGTCCAATAAAATTTGCCAGTTTTTTTATTTTTATTTTTATTTTTATACTTTTTTATAATAATGTATTAAAGGATGATTATTATAATCTCATTCGGGAATCCAGAAACTTTGTTTTGGGACCGGTCCTAAGACCGATCTCAACTTAACGGTCCATGTAAATTACCGACGAAGTTTAAAATTAATAATATAACGAGCACTATTTATTATAGATAAGCGATTAACCTATGAAATCATTTGGGACTCTTCATGTGTCAATCTGGAATATTTTTTTCATTCCGTGTAACCAATACGAATTGTTTTTAATTGCAGTAAAAATCACGTACAAAATGGAAATGCATCCTTTCTTTTCTAATTTAACTATTTAAATTTGTTCTAATATAAATGATATTCTATTCACAGAAAAATGTCCTTGCATATCATACCTGATGTTAATTTACCTCCATCATTAGAAGAATCAGAAAATAAATCCAATTCTATTTTTGGAATGTGGTGATGGATGGTGTAAAGGTCGTGAAAGCGACGCATTGAAAGAGAATTTTGGAAATGGTCAAGCGAAAATATAATATTGATAGGTTTAAATACAACTGGAAGTGTAGATTATTTAGTATATATTGATTTGAACAGCTTGATCTTATAGTAAATACAAATAAGGGAGGTGCTTTTAGCACAATTTATTCGACGATTTGGATGGAAGGTCTACGATGGATTTGGGATGAAATGGTTGACCAATGGACACGTAATGGACCCATAAAAGTTGTTCTAAAGCGACTTAATAATTTGCAAAACATAAATAAAGATTATTTGAATCCAGTTAGTATTGTTTTATTTATTATCACTTATTTGCTTAAATCTTTAGCATTAATAACTTTTTTTATACCATTTTAATGAAATGAAAATAAAGGTTTATAATATCATCATTGTTTACATGGTGGAATTATTGCAGATTTTTTTGGAATAACACTTCTCATTACATGTTTGTCATGAGATATTATGAATATTATGAAAATAGAGATTTATATTCATATCTTGATGAAACTCCATTAAAAAAGCTTTGCTGGAGAGATATTACTGAATTGCTTTGGAGCATATCTGGAAAAATTGTACATTATCATGAAAATGGATTAAATCATGGAAATCTTCACGGAGGAAATATATTGGTTGAAGTTAAACAAGATTTATTTGAGAATATTATATCCCGGATATTGAACCATATTTAATTGATAAGAAATATTCTAATGAAATATATGGAGTTCTTCCTTATATTGCTCCCGAAATCTTGCGAGGAAATCCATTAACCGAAGCCGCAGACATATATAGCTTTGGAAATATCATGTGGACACTTTC